TTGTTGAAATGAATCACCTATGCATAGCGGAAAAAGGAAGAAGTCTCATACAAGGGAAAAAAGTTGGGACGGCAGGGTGGATGAAGATGCAAACATAAGGCGACTTCCAATGAGAGTTGCCAAACAAAAACAGGTTACCCAAACTACATCTACAAAGTCCAATCGTTCAAAGAAGAAAGCATGAATTTTGAAGACATTTTGAGAAGGGTTGATGATGAATACAAGAGTATACAAGTTGAAGATTTCACAACACTAGAGAAGAGAGAACATTACTGTTATTTCTACATATTTTTATTCTACCATCACATTAGCATAGTTCTATGTAATATCATCACAGAGTATGTTATAAACTCTGTGATGATCATAGAATATCTAGTTCTAGCTAGTTCTTTCTTTTTACATGCATGTTAGTTGGTGAGACTTTTTCTTTGCCTCAATAGGATTAGTAAGGTAAGGTTTAGCCCAATAGTGTCTGCCCAGGTCTTATGCCTTTGGGAAATTGCCCAAGCGGCTATGAGATTATATGCCCTCGTGAGACTTTGCCGGCAGCTACCCCATGATTCCTCTACATGAGGCTGCCATAAGGGCAATGTGAGGCACAGAGGAGTGATTATATAGCCAAGGCATAGAGGCAACACTACTGGTGCTATTGTCCCCCTTATTTGTACTCTTCCTATGTGGTTCTTTTTTGCTTTTATTATTAATAAAACTAGCCCTAGGCATCTGCCTAGTGGATTTGCCAAAAAAAAAATCTATCTATAACATGAAAAGGAAGTACTATTAATAATATTCTTATTTAGGGTGGGGTGGGGTGGAGAGGGTGGGACGGGGTTTGGTTGGGATTGGGTGGGTGGTGGTGTAGTGTGGCGGTGGGTTGGTGAGGGTTGATGGGGATGGGGAATAGGGTGGGGAAGGTTGAGAAGGAGTTTTGGAAAATATTTTCCCTTCTCTTAATAGGAAAATATTTTCCTCCAATTGGAGAAAAATGAGTTCACGAGGAAAATATTTTTTAAAACATTTAGGCCAACCAAACATAAGAAAATTGGAAAATATTTTCTTTCATGCCAAACACACTCTAAGTCCAATCTAACGGAAGTGTCTATAAGGATTTTTATACAAATAGTAAATTTATTGTTTATTTTTTTAAACCAATATACATAGATTATACATATATAGGTTATACATCCATTATGCATATATTATACATGAATTATATATTGATTATACATTCGCCGGTTATTTCATATCCAAGTACTAAAAATATTTCGAAGTACAATCGTAGCTTATGGTCCTCTGATTTTCATTTTTTTCTTTTTACTTCTAAATCTCTAAGCGTTTACTAGTGCATTATTTTTTTTCGTTCTATATACTAGTGTTAGTACCTGCGCAATGCGCGAATAATTTGAAAGAATATTAATAGTATAAAGTTATTATATAATATATCATATTAGTTTTAATAAATATTAGTTGTTATTTTATTATAATGTATAAAAATATAATAAAATCTATACAAAATCAAAGGATACGCATCATATAGTAATTAAATAAATTGTTTGTTCTTTATTTATTCTTTATTAAATTAGCAAGTACTTAGTACTATACATTTACTAATATGATTTTTATTAACTTGTCAATTGGCTTAATATTTTGATGATAATTCTCTTTTAATATAATATAGATATATATTTTCTTACTCTAGAATATTTGTATTTTTAAAAATATCTCATTTTATTAATTTTTTTTCATTTTGAATTTTACATATAATCAAAATATTATCATATTTAAATCAAACTATATTTTTTAAATTTTTTTAAAAAAAATATAAACAGATAAGTAATTTCACTATTTTGTCATAAATTTACTGATTTTCTTAATAATAACTATTTTGCATTATTTTCCATAAGCAAATGAACTTTTATTTTATATCTAACTCAAATACTTTTATCTATAAACTCGAAATAATTTATCTTTCAATTTGAAATCAAATTACTTTCTATATAAGAAAATAATTGTAGTATTTTATAAGATATAGACTACCAAATTAGGAAGAAACTACTCCCCGATTTGAATTGACAGTTTTGTTTTTCTGTTTATTTTTTTATTTTTTACTTAGAGTAATTTTAAACTCCAAATTTGTTAACCCAAAGAGAGTAACTAATTATTAACAACATATAATGCATAATTTAATTTTTTTTATATTTAATTTCAAAAGAAAACTAATTATTACCTAACCTAACTAAGTTTGTCATAAATTGCCAAGTGGCCTAGTGTGAGGTTGTCAGTTGCACTTGGCTTAATATGGAGGCTTTTTCCTCTCTTTTTAATAATATAACTAGGGGTGACAATTTGAACCCAAACCCATCCAACACGCCCGAAAATTAATGGTTTGGGCTATAAATATTTTAGCTCATGGGTCTATTTGGGCTGAGCCCAAGTTAACCATCATTTTTTTAATATCCCATAGTAACCCATGAAGTAGCCCAAATACAACTCATGAAGCTCAACCAAGACAAACGAATCTCAACTCAACTGAAGGATTGTCTGAAAATTTACTTAGTTGCCCCATCATTAGTTTCTGTGTCTAAGTTTAAAAATGAGAATCAAGGTACTTAAGTTTTAATGTAAATATAAATAATTTTATAATAGAGTTGTAGTAAAATTTACTTATGTTGAATTAAACATAAAAGATATTTTTCAACTTACAAATTTTAAATACTACTAATTTGTTATTTAAGAAAATATATTTTGATTCTCAAAATACGTAAAAGACTTTATTCATACAAGATGAACATGGTTTTAAAATAGAGACTTTTTCCTTCCTATATCATATATGAAACCTTATTACCAAAAATGTGCATAGCTTCATATTTACCCATCATGTTCACAGTTATTCTACAAAATATATACCATTCATTAAATACCAATTATTAGGAGCTGATTTCTTCCAAATTAGGCGCGCTACAAATCTGAAACTAAATATTCTTCCAGATATTCCTATTTAGGGGCGCTACAATTATGGAAGTAAATATTCTTCCAGATATTTTCCACCATTGTCAGCCATTAAAAAACTTGAAAGCTTTGAATTCAAATTTGGGTTTTCAAAAATCATTATTTGTTTGGATTGGGTGTTGTTGAAAATAATCGGGAAAATGGTTTGGAGTTTATATCTCAATTTTGAGGGGTTTTGGTGAAGATTAGACTTGGTTTTGACTGAATTTCAGATTGAAACTCGAAGAAGAAGAAGAAGAAGAAGAAGAAGAAGAAGAAGAAGAAGAAGAAGAAGAAGAAGACATATTGCAGAAATTGTAGATAAATTGTAGATTATTTGTATTCTGATTGTAGATGCTTTATTTTCTGTTTTCACAAATAAAAAATGGCTAAAACTTCTACAAATCTTCTGAAAAAACACAATTATGTCAAAAATCACAATTATGCTACAATTGAATGTGAATTGGGATATAAAAATTCAATGTACCCAGTTTGTAGATATTTTGTAGATAAATTATAGATTATTTGTATTCTAATTGTAGATGCTTTATTTTCTATTTTCACAAATCAAAAACGACTAAAACTTCTATAAATCTTCTGCAAAAAACGCAATTATGTCGAAAATCCCAATTAAACTACAATCGAATGGGAATTGGGATATTAAAATTCTATATACCCAGTTTGTTGATATTTTGTAGATGAATTGTATATTATTTGTATTCTGATTGTAGATGCATTGTTTTCTGTTTTCACAAATCCAAAATGACTAAAACTTCTACAAAATCTTCTGAAAAAATGCAATTATTGCGATAAAAATAAGAAATATTGCAATAGATTATAGCATTTGATATTGTTTGAGAATTGGGACTATGAAATTGATGGCATATGTCGTGTATGCACGTGGCTTACAGCTACAGAAAGAAGAGGAAGAACGAAGTAAACAACAGAAAGCCAAAGCTATTGCTAAATTGGAGGAATTGAATTGCCGTATGCAGGCAGGTGATGCTTTGTCTCAGAAGGCTATAAAGGATTCGTCACCTGATGTTATGATATACATAAACATGGGTGAGGGTGAGGGTTTAGGAGAGAGAAACGTAGGAGGAGTGGGATATACGGTACCTTGAATTAAGGAGGGATATACGTTGCATTAATTGTACCCTTAAAATACACTATGGTATAGAATTGGTAATTTGGTATACTAAGTGTAATTAAGTCAAACCTTAAACATAAACATTGAGGGTAATAAGGTTTCCTATGTGGCATAGGAATGTAAAAATTCCTTTAAAATATGGGTCAAGTTGGGCTATGACCCATTGTTTAGCCCATCTTGACCCAAGTACACTTTGGATAAGGTTTGGTAATGACCCATTTATTGAAAAGGCTGTATCCGAAAAACGATCTTTCCGTTGCCGGGACTTGAACCCGGGTCTCTCGGGTGAGAGCCGAGTATCCTAACCACCTAGACTACAACGGATTGTGTACTTTTCAATATTGAATATATATAGATCTCTATCTAAACAGTTAAAACATAAGGGATACAAGAATAATAGTACTCTATCTTTTATTCCTTTAATCTCATGCCTACTGTTCGATTTAGGGAAGAACAGATTACTGAAGGTGCTTTGTTGTGGGATGAAATCATGCGAACAACATGTGTGGGTTCCGGTTTTAGATTTTAACACTTCAGTTAGCCTTGGACTGCATGCACACCTGTTTTGAATAGTTAGTGGGAGTATTAGTTCTCTAGTTTAAACATAAAGGATGATTTTATACAAAGCTGAAGCTTAAGGAACTATTTTGGTCCTTTTGAACAAATAAATCGTATTAATCAAAAATCCGTTTTCATTAAATGGGATCAAATTTGATTTATAAGTCGAATTTGTAAATGTGTTTTACAAGTCGCATTCTGCAGATACGTTTTATAACTGTAAATGAGTTTGTAAGGCGCATTCTTTCAATACGATTTATAAGCCCGCATCCATTCTCACATTCGGCTTATTCTTCCTCTCTTTCGCCGCATCCTCAAACTCCGTTCCTCCGCGTAGCCGCCACCCGCCGGAATCCTCCGTACCCAAGCCCTCGTCGCTGATTTGGTGGCCGCCGGTGATGGAGCTGGCTCTGCTCACCGTTTACTCTGGCGGTGATCATGGTTCTATTCAGAGGACTTTGATCCAACGGTCATCCCCTGTGAGTTAACGGGCTCAACTTATATTTACAGTTTATTTTACACTATCGTTGCTATAATTTTATTTACCATATTTTTCAGGTAATTATTCATGCTTACTGTAGGCCGTTAATTTTAGTTAGTTGATTTTAAGTGATCTGAATTTATAAATATGTTTGCACTGTCAGATACTGTGTAATTTCTTGTACAGCTCGTTGAAATAATTGGCCGCTTTATCTTATCTCTGCTGTTCCTTGAGCCGAGGGTCAATCTGAAGTAAGGTAAGGATAAGGTGTGCGTCCACACTACCCTGTCCATACCCCATTTATGGGATTACACTGGGTTTTGTTGTTGTTGTTGTTGTAGCTCGTTGAAATAATAGTGCATCTGTTCATTTGTTTCCTTGCAAAAGCAAAAGCTAACCGTTTCAACTCATTTTATTCAGTACATGATATTTTCCCTCTTTATTGGGGTTCTATTTAAGAAATCTGAAACAAAATACATGAGCTGACAAAATACATCTAATTTAGATCAGGTGAAAATTAAGTCCAGTCTAAAGGAATTGTCTATATTCAACAGAAGGCACAAAATGGTTTGCTTATTCCACATCCAAGTAGTAAAAAAGTATATTTCGAAGTACTATTGTAGCTTATGGTCCTCTGTTTCAACTTTTGTTTAAATTTGTGTTACCAAAGTTGACTTATGTGATCAAACTGGTCAGTCTTCAATACAGTTTGGTCTACAGACTTTTTTTGCAAAAGAAAAGGTAAGAAAAACATCTGCTAAGAATCATTGATTGAGAATTTTCTAAATAGCACCAAAATAGTGTCAGTGGTGATACTTTGGTCATGACCTACAACATGGGAAACAACCTAAGTCACTTCCTGTTCAATTCATGACCTAAATGAAAAAAAGTAGTCCATCCGTCCCAATTTATGTGGTGGTGTTTGACTGAGCACGAAAATTAATAAAGAAAGAAAGACTTCGGGGAAAATTTAAAAGTTGAATTGTTTCTGAATAAGAAAGTATGGTATTCTATAAAGGACAGATTAAAAGGAAAGTATGACACATAAATTGGAACATAGAAAGTACTATTGTTGCTCATGATTCCCTGAATTTCTATTTTTGTTATTTCTAAATCCCCCAATTTAAATTTATATATTTTATGCTGCCAAAGTTGACTGCTGTGTTCAAAATGGCAAGTCTTCTAAACAGAAAGATGTTGTCTCACGATTACTTTAATCAGTATTCCACAAACGAAAAGTTAAAAAAAGATTAGTGAACAATCATTGAGTTAAAATTCTGTATAGCACCAAAATGATGTCATTGCTCACTATTACTAGATGGAATGCTTAACTGATATGGATTTTCCTAGAACTTGTGTACCCAGACCAAGTCTAACGTTGTGTTTTTTTTTCCCTTAGACACCAAGATCTATTTAATGGTTATTTCTGAGGAAACAATTTAAAGCAATCTTAAATTACTAGTGCATTGCTTTTTTCGATATATCTTGTGCAACTTGATCGACTTTGCGGAAAAAGATGAAAAGTGAGAGATTTTTATTTCTCAATATTGCATTTTCAGCGTTCATCGGACTTGTTATTGGAACAAATTCAGGAGGGGATGCTCGTACTACTTTGTGCATTGACAGGGAGAGGGAAGCTCTTCTCAAGTTCAAGCAAGGTCTGATAGACAACTACGGTATCCTCTCGTCACCGGTTGAATTCCGAACCGAGGAAATTATGACTCTGTTAACAGTCCGCGAACCAGAACTCCGAGTAAGGAATTCTGTTAACCCGGGAGAAGGTATTAGGCATTCCCGGGTTCCGTGGTTCTAGCACGGTCGCTCAACTGTTATATTTGCTTTTATCTGATTTTAAAACATATTCTAACCTATGTGCCTTTTATTTTAACCGCTTTTATTTTTATTTTTAATAAGAATTTGCAACGTCGTGAAAATGCGTCTCGAACCGCGTCGCACCAGTGCGCCCGTGATTGTTAACACATTTCGACTTCGTTGAGATTTGGATTTGGGTCACATAAATGTGCACCCGTATTTAGGAAGGTAAAATTATTAAGAAGCGCGCCTAAAGTGGCTAGCGTCTTATTAACCTTGTGGGGAAGCCATGAAAATTCGCTAAATGGCATGTCCCGAGTTTCTAAATATTTTTTATATAATCTTTAATGAGGGCCCCACAATTTATATGTTTTGATTTGGCGAGGCTCGTCTCATTTATTTTAAGGCCAACCTAAAAGCAACTACGATTCTCTACTTAATTTCGTCTCTAAAATAAAAGGAAAAAGTCCTAATTAATTTATCATTGACTTAGATATGCCTTCGGGCCCAAAGACAAACCCAGGCCATGTGAGTTAAATTTCAGTCCATAAGCAAAATCCAGTCAAACATGGACCCTGGCCCAGCGGAAGCTGTGTCAATTTAAACAAACTACTAAGCCTTGCCAATTTATAATCCAGAATCAAGGATATGCTGTCCAGGGCCCAACGCTTTGGGGCCTGCTATTAGAAAAACTGGCCCAGGTGTGATTAGGCACATTCAAGTGTAGCTGATAAGCATGGCTCCCAAATCGAGCCCAGGCAGAGACAGCGAATTGCGCCTGGATGCAAATCCAACCGTCCCAGCCCCATCAACTAATTAGGCAATTATTTAGGCTTTGCTTGAGATTCGACGGTAGTAACAATCTAATTGCTATTTCAGCTAAAATAAACCAGTCTCATGTTCCCCTGATTAACAGAATTGAAGTTAACACGGAAACAGGGGTTAATTTGTTAAACACTACTAACAAAGGAAGCTACCTCACATTATCCTATGCTATACTAACAACACATTGAATCGATTTAACATCACTAACTAACTGAGCCACCTTAACAGTCTATGAAATTCATATACAAGTTCAAATATACTGAGTCAAACAGTCCAAATTTTAACATATCACGTGCACTGAAATTACACCATTACATAGTTCTAAACTAACCACATCCATAAACATTCACCATGAGCACAGCCTTGAATCATCACTTCATTTCATTTCAATGGAAGAGTACATCACTTGTGAGGTCAAATGCGTGTACTTAAACTAAACAACAACAGCAGATTATGTTCATGCATGTTAATACAAGCTTCCACATCACTTGAGCCTAAGAATATACCTGGAAATTAGAACAAAAATGAGGAAGAGGGAAGTCAGCTAAAGCAGTAACGAACAGCAGCCAAATTCAAAAAAGCAGCTAGATCATCCTCAAATCCAAAAATACCACAGCAGACCCAGGAATGACTAGCAGCAGATTAACACCAAAAAGCAGATGAAACCAGATATGATTGGATCAAAATACACTCGAAATCAACCAAAAAGTCCTGAACTTGAACAAACAAGGTCTAGAAGATACTCAAACCATTTTTAACCTTCTGTTGCACTGAAACTTGATCTACAAATGAAATTCAAACTTGATCTAAGAGAGTCCCAATAGAGCAGTATATTATTTTTTTTTTTGGATTTTTCTACTGTTTTTTTTTTGGTTTTTTGAATTTTTTTTGAATTTCAGACTTCAGATCTGTACACTTGGGGGGGGGGGGGTAAATTTTTAGGCCTCCAAACTTGTGAATCAAGGCAAATGAATACCTATTTATAGAGTGAACTTAGGGTCCAATTTCAGATTCC